AAAAAAAAAAAAAAACCACCACTAATTAAGACTTGAGAGCAGGTGATTGCTCCTTCACAGCACTGAAACTACAGTTAGTTTATAAAGAAATCCAGCATACTTTCCATGGTGCTGAAATGTTTAATCTACACAGGAACAAATGCAGAAATGATATAGAGAAAAACATAAATACAAAATAGAGCCGAACTGTCCCTGGGGGGGGGGAAGAAAAGAAACGAGTGTGTCAGCAGCCTCCCCAGGTGAGTCGGGCCACGTGATCCGTCTTCTTCTTGGTCGCTTTGATGAAGCCCAGGAACTCCAGCTCTGAAACGGCGCGGATAAAACGAGCGCTGAGGGACAAGTTCAGGATTTAAACCGAGGACCAGATTCCCACAAAATAAAGCTGTAATGTTCTTTACACTCTACTTCCTTCTACTTCAGTTTAGCATCCCACTTAGTAAAGGGGATTTTTATCTAAAGGGTTTTATTTTTTCAGACACTAGAGCAGGTGTAGCTTTATTTATAAAGCTGTAGTTAAAAAGCGTATCAGTGTATAAAAAGATACTGTTTGACTTCGTCCACTTTTCCAAAACCGTCAGAATCTGGATCGTTGCCCTCTGCAGCAGAAACCACGGTGGAGTAGGCCTGGAAACAAAAAGAACAGCTCACAAACAAATCCAGAATTTGATCTTTAAGTCAGCAACACGACACTCTGATCAATAAAACCTTCTACAGACAGACCAGCTCGGATCAAAGAGGTTGAAAGGTGCTGATTGTCTTATCGACCTAAATAGATTAGACTCAGAGAGACGACTCACCTCCAGCCAGTCGTAGAGGTTGATCAGCCGGCCACATTCCAGGTGCAGCTTGTAGGCTATGCAGATATCTGGAGCGGCGTTTGACACCGTCCCGTCCTCTGTCTTCAGGCTGTCATTCTGGGGGAAAACAAAAAAAAAATGCTTGATGAGGAAGATTTAAGGTAAGTCCTGCTCTGCAGGTAGTTTCCCCAAATATCTAAAATTCGATCGTCTTTATTGCAATAGTGCATGATTTTATTTTGATTCTCTACAAAGTTACAATTTCCAAATAAACCAAAAGATAAACTCCTTAATCAAATGATCACAGGTCCAAATAAGAGTGAAAATGACTCCAAGCTTCTGATTGGCTGAACTCCTCATGGCGTCTCTGTACCATAAAGTCAAGAGGCTGATCAGCCTCTCAATCTCTTGTTTTGTGATAAATATTTGTGCCATAAGCTTTTGTTTTTCCATTTTTAAGATATCTCATTTCAAACCTGCATCGCTTGGTTCATTCCTTTAAGAACACCCAATTATTTTGTTTTGACTTTCAGCAGCACTAAAAAGCGCACAGATATTCCCCTCCAGGGTTTTATTCTTCCGGCCAGATTGATTTTGGTTGAGCATAGGTCATTCTGTTAAGGCTCAATACTCTCCATCTTTCTTTAAAAAATATATGTTGTTGCATCACATCGGACTTTATGTGCCTGGTCTAAACCGTTTCTGCTGACTTTGTTAGTTCCTTTTATGAAATCAGACTCTTTCCGCTTTCTTCTGACCAATCTATGCTAAGTACCACATGTGCATTACCGCCACCTAGGCTGATGCAATTTAAAAGTTTAGTTAAATTTAATGTGACCAAAACTGGCTTCCTCTGCAATCTTAAAATTGTGTTTTATTAACCTGTGATGGCAATCCTAATGCGGTTAATTACCTAACTCTAACCTAAATTATCCCTTCCTTTAACATTCCTGGATAAATCCTTTAACTAGGGCTCCAACAACGAATCGATAAAAATCGATAAAAATCGACTTTTAAAAGCGTTGGCAACGAAATTCATCATCGATTAGTTGTGTCGCGCGATTAATGCGTCATCCGCCGCCGCCGTCATCACTGCCACTTGACTGAAACGGGGGAAGAAAAAAAAATTACGGCAGAGCGAGCCAGAGCTGCAGGTGAGCAGTGTTGCCAACTCAGCGACTTTGTCGCTATATTTGGCAACCTTTCAGACCCC